CTGAGAATGAAAATTTGTAGGAATTTTGCATAATAGTGTATGATATTGTAATATCAAGAAATTTTCTTATTAACTACCCCTGATAAGGTTTAACACGTCACTTGATTGACTTGCAATTGAATTTTGTCTACATATTTATTGCTCAAACTACACAACACACTGTGTTACCTTCATACATATACGGTTAGTTCAGTGCAAGCACTGCAAGATAGGCTACAGGTTATTACCTTACTGCAGAATGGACTTAATTTCACCAAATATAGTGTCGAAATTCTGGCGACTTGTTGCAGCTAGCAGATCTCAGCGACTAAATATATAAAAAATTGTAATAATATCAATAAGAGTAACACACAATAAAATGAGAAATCGTGATGAATAACATTTAAAATGTATATATCAATAGTAGGGTTATTTATAAAGCATAGCTGTGTTATACATTGTCCATGCACTGCATGTTCATGAATGGTATATAATTGTAACTGTAACTATAGTTTAAGCCTATATATACATCTTTCCAAGAGTTAACACTATATACTTATCTACAAGAAGAGCAACATGGGAGAGACTATATAATGCAGATTTCCCACCAATTATTAATTGTGTTCCGAAGCATTAGGTTTTGAAGTTGCACGAGTAAAACCCTAAAGTTACTAATACTAGTCAATATATTCCTATACAAATTCATAAGACCCTTCAGGTCGATCACACATCGAACACACGTACATTGATACACATCGATCACACACGTCGATCACACATCGAACCTTCAGGTCGATCACACCAAATCGAACCAAAATAAATCAAACCAGTATATATAAATGGACTTACCTCATACAGCAAGACAGGCACATTTGTCACATTTGGTGATAGCTATATAGGGCTTAGATACAATAATGTAACCCAAACCCAGAGAGGATAGGGTCTACCTCTCTGCATGGGTTTGGGTTACATTATTGTATCTATATAGGGCCTACGGCTGTCCATGCAGTAACTTCACGATTCGACAGCAGATTCCACACTCGACCGTGAAGTCCTATACCAAACTATGACCAAAACAGCCCGTGATAATCCGGATGACAAACGTACTAAGTCTGGTTGAACTGGAATGAATGTCACAGAGATGGACTAATAGTAATAATCACTCCGCTTCGTTATCGTGTTCCGCTTTATCGGCCGTCGTTAGGCTGGTAACAGGAAACTCCGTTGTGCAGGTGTTCTAGACTGGTACCCGTCCCTTCTCACACACCCCGCTCTATATAGGGGTCCTGTATCGAGCGGGGTGTGTGAGAA